GAAATGCGTTCTGCTAGCGCTGGTAGCTGAAGAATTGGCTCCATCATAACATAAGAACATGTACTTTCCTAGTTTCAAGGAAGGAAGTTGGACAGCAACTCATCTTCAGTATCTGTAAACTAAATACCTAAAATTTCCAGACAGTAACTCTTACTGATTTTTTCACTTCTGCTGGTTTATTGCTCTTTACTGCACATGCTATCTATAAAGGTATATATAAAGGTATCTAATAAAGGTGTCTCAGTAAAAAATGGTTTTGTCTAACAATGACACAGGCTCACAATCATCAGAAGCTTAGCCCATTCCACAGTATGAAGTATCTTCACAGAATCTCTAGCAAAAGTATTAGTTCACATCCAGCAAAAGACAACATTCCTATACTGATAACGAGATTGCTGAAGATGAGGAGCCTTGATTCCTTAAACATAAATTCTTTTTCTTTGACTCCATATGGTTAATGATAGAGGGATACAAATTGCATCTCATGCCCATTGAATCCCTAGGAGTCTCCAGGGTGATATTAGGACGCCATTACTACTTTAGAATTTATCCATCAGAAATAATTTTAGATTATACAGAAGCTCATCATATAATTGGACTTTTACCCCTTCACCACAGGGAGATCTTGACTGACATGCACCTGCATAAATTCTCATGCCATACTGTACTTGCAGGCAGTATGCGTTTCTCTGCAGATTGTGAGCTACTTAAGCAATCATCCTTTTATCTTTTCATTGACTACTCAAGGTTTCCAAGATTCCGTGTTCCAACTGTAGAACACAAGATGTACAAGGGGATGCCACTTTATCCTTCGCTTTGCCCAGACCAGCTGGGACAGAGGCATTACTTCTGTACTTTTGGCTAGCAAATGCTAACATGGTAGAGCTGCTGGACTTCAAACAAAGAAAAATAAGTCAGCCTCCCAGTGATGAGGTTGTCCTGTGGGATATTGAGAGCTTTTTTGTCTCAGGTATTCACAGTACCTGTAAATCACCATGGACACAACTTCTGCATACTGCATGCCATTAAACAGGATTTGGCTGACTTCAGAATTGCGTGTTAGATTTAGATTTATGTTCTGATCACATTAAATATTGTCATGGAATAGTCTGAGTTACTTTATTATATTGGATCATTTGTAACAGTTCAGGTATTCCCAATGTACTTCAATTACCTGGGACTGGGAATATCATGAAATGGACTTTTTTGCGTTCAATACAATCAAGTACTCTCAGACCTTTTGCTCTCACTCCAGTTATGTCCTGATGGGGACAGTGCTCATTCAGTGATCAGAAAGGCTGGCATATGCTTTCCCTCCTGATCTAGAAGTTAGGCATACATTAGTTTCCATGACCACTCTTAACTTAGGCAGTGTGGCTAGGATATTAGAGCTATTTTTCAATTAATTCAAGACTGTATCTCCCAAAAATTATCTTGAACAACAGACCCTGTGCCATTTTGACAATTGCCTGCAACATTTCACAGCAGGCTCGGTGAATGAGTTTTGGTCAGTTAGAGTTGGCCCACTTACATAGTACACTTATATAGTATGGCCCTCTGCTACAGCTTCTCAGCTGTGGGAAGGCATATTTACTTAGCAAAACGGAACAGGGCCTCAAACTGCAGTTAGTAAGTTTGTTTCACACACACACCCTGGACATCCTTCCCAGTCATTGTGGAGTATTTGGTGGAACGAGGTGTCTGCTCTCTTCTTTAGTCCACCTAAGGCTTATGCAACCAACATTTATGCTATGGTACCAGAGAGAGCTTTTCAGTTCAGTTCAGTCCAGTTCAGTCCAGTTCATAGAACATATCAGTCCTTCCCGTATCCTGACTTATCTACAAAAGTACCCTGTTTTTTTCCTAGTCATTAACTGCCAATGCTGGATTGGATGTCTACAGAGAAGCCACAGCCCATAGAAAAGCATAAATACAGAGGCAGCTTCAGCTGACATTCCCACCTCCTAGGAGACAATAGGGAGAGCTTTCATGTGTTCACAGCTAACTGTCCCTAAATTCCTTAAGGTACTGGACAAGTTGTTCTCAGTAATGAGGTACCCTATGCCACTATAGGAACTGAATTTGGTGTTCATGGTTTTTGTAGGACCACAGTTCAAGTCTATGATTACTTTTTTTGCTGCTACACTTACCTGTAACTGTGTCTTCTATTCCACAAGAATATCTGCCAAGGCATTGAAGCTTATTCTTCCTACAAAACATTCTTGCTAAAAAAAATTTGTTTACAAATCCATTTCAAGTTTCCTCCAAAAGTTTTTTTCTGAGATTAGTTTAACCCAGAATTTAATTTACCTATTTCCTTCCATAAATCTCATGTAATTAGGGCCACAGCATCTTGGCTGCCAGCCATCTGTAACACTGTGTGTAAGGGAAAAGGGAGGAAGAGCATCTGTGTTTCTTCATTGCCCCGAAATTTTTAAGAGAAATCCAAGACTGCCCTGAAAGTAAAAGCTACAAAGGCCTGGCTATATCCACACAGGGATCACCTACCTCAGTAATCAGTTTAATAAAGATAGGTTATAAGAAATGTGCTCCATCATTAAAACGTGCTCCTCTAGAACCCACTGTATCCACAGTCTTGCCAAGAAATGTCTCCATCCTTGGTGTTCACAAAGTGAATACCTGGAACTGTATTTATGACCAAACATTAGACTGCCACAAGGGCACCATTAAAGGATTCTATATTTCCCAAGGTCTCCTGAAGTCACTGCTTACAAAAAGCCCCATATCCAGGTAACTGACTGGATAGGAAAACTCTGCTTGAAGAAACCCGCAGTGTATATTAATGTATGTAAACACTCTAAAATAGAAAAATTATTTATCAATAACTGGAGTTCCCTGAAACGTGTTGGCCTTCTACATGTTCACTTCCCTTTCTACTCCACCTCCCTCTCTCGTCCTTTCTCCTTCAGTGTCCTTTGGGAAACTTTTGGCTTCAGGAGTTTGAGTAAACACTGGGATGCCTCCACTATCAAATCACATCTAGGACTGAAATCCTAGATTCAGGTCGTATGTACAGTTATGAATGCTGATACTCTTCTGCTGCACCTAGCGCTTTAGTTGTCCTGGACATGTAAAGAAGCAAAACTCCAGTGGTTAGAGAACTTCCAGGAAGGTTCCTCCAAGGTTACCTTGTAGTTTGTGGGTTTGTTTTCCCTAAATCATAATTTTGATCTGCATCTGATTTCTGCCCAAGACCTTTATTGAGTTTAGTCTATCACCAGTTTATTAATTAATTTGAAATTAGTTCCTGTCCTCAAAGAATATTTAAAGATATATTTCAAGATATGTTTAGTTTTCTACAATGGTAATCACTGTGTAACTATATAGTAAATAAGTTTAAAACAAAAGAAAACAGAATGGGCAAAAATGAACATAAGAAAGAAAAGATTTGAAAAGGCAGAGAAATTAACTAAACACAAAATATGAAAATGGCAATGTAATAACACTATTTCCATTCTAGAATGGAAACAGGTAAACCTGAAAAAAATAGATATAATAAAAAAAGTAAGTGAAACAATTTTGAAAAACAGGCAACAGTGGGAATGAGAAGAATGCAAGATGTAGAAATTCCTGTACTGGGCTCTAACAACTGTGTGTTTATCAGCATTTGCAGGACAACTTAGTCTAGCCTGATAAAGTTTCAAATTTATTTGGGGCTTTGCAAGATTTATCTCCTGGAAAATATTACACAGAACATTTTAAATGTTTCAACCCTACAGAGAATACAGTGTGCTCCTTTAAGTACATAATAAATTTTTTGATATTTGGCATATTGCAAGAAGAACCTACTCAAATCAACGTCTCCTGTTCAATATCTGTGCTGTATATTTGTAAAATTGCAGTGTGCTGTAAAAGTTTTGTGGGCTGACTGTAAACATATTCTATTGAACAGTGTTATTCCAAAATCCTTTTCCTAGCTTGTAGCCACAAGTCTTTATAAGCCATATGTTACATTCATCTTATAACGGTTATTTGAGCATTAAAACTTGCAGTCAGGAAGAGTTTCTGACATACTGTGTTTTGTCATATCTGTGTATGCCTCAATTTTAGATAATATTAAAACATTGTTAAGTTTTCTCTGTAAAAAAGTTAGGATGATACAAATAGCAGCAAACACATTTAAAGAAATAGGGACATATTTACTGCGTATCTAAAAGCTGGTATAATTTATGTTATGGTCAACAGTGTTAACTTTGAGATAGCTGTCTCATGAGGGACACACAGCAACAGTCAGTCAGTGTTTAAATCTCAGCTAACACTTTTAGTTAAGTTCAGAGATTTTCTACTGGTATCCATATTTCTGATTTTTTCTAGTCATTTTGTTGGCCGAGTGTCCTCATGACAGTTATTTTTCTTATTTTTGAGAAAACAAAAGAAAAAGAAAGACATTTTCTTGTATTCATAAGTCTCAAGACAAGTTTACTCAGTTATATTATTGTCTTAACCATGCTGCAAACATCTGGTCACTAAGTTATGCAAGTAGTTTCTGAAGAAATGAATGTTAAACATGTTTAGAAAGACGACAAAAATGCCAATAAATTATAAAAACATAATTTAGAGAAAAAATTAATTTCTAGGTATAAATAGCTGTAGATCTACAAATTACAGTATTTAAGAACGTTATTAGTTTAGATTTTGTGACAGAAAGATTTTGACATGTGTGAAGTATAATCTTTCCGAATGTCTTCTTTTCTGCCACTAGAGGGTACTCCAAGAACTTACAGTATATTTATAGCAAGGATTTATTTGGGGTTTTTTGGTCTGCAAATGATCAAGCACTGTTGTGATACTAAACCTTAGGAATTTAACCCCCAAAAAACTTGATATTAAACAACAACTTTCAAAACCAGCCTAATATACCTTTTCAGCAAAATAGTGCTGCGCACCCAAATTATAAGGAGCGTTGACTGACATGTAGTTGAGATTTAGTTGAACTTATCCTACTTTTAAATTATCTAAATTATTATCTTTTCTTTATTTCAGACACAGTTCTCTGGTTCACATCCTGTTTCTTCATCCAGATTTGGACAAGGCATTCCATTATTGGCAGGCTGAAGAAGTACAAAACGAGTTCTGATCTTGGTCCCTGTTTTTCTGCAAAGACCTCTACAGAGACCCCAGGAAGACCATTGTGAAACCTCACAGTCCAGTGGTGTTTCTGCAATATACACCAAAAAAAAAAAAAGGTAATTTTACATAAATTTATGCTTAAGGCAAACACATAGTTAGCAAAGCATTGAGCAGTAGCGATCAAATAGTGTCCTTTCTTATACAAAAATACACTGGTTATTAATAAAATCCATATGTTGCTTCATAAATAAAAATGTCTGTTTCCAGCTACTAAGCTCATTGACACTGTTGTTATTATTATTATTTTTATAATGGCAGAGTAGAGACTGTCTGAGGTACTATATCAGTAGTGCAGCAAATTATTTATTGAACCGAAAATATAGAATTCCTATCAAATAGAACTGTGCTTAAAATAATTACATTCAAAAGATTGCATTAAAAACCATCTTCTGTCAATTTTATAACTCATTTGCCTTTGCATGGCTTACTAAAAACACTGGGATTAAAGTTTTTCTCTGGTTTATTTAGGCACACTTATATTTCTTTGCAGATAGCTATTGTTCCTATAGTTGTTCATATCGAATTCCATTTAACTTTGGTTCCAGTCTGCTTCAGAAATGAAGAAAAGTCCCATTTTTTATCATTAAATCATCTTGCTATTGTTTGGTATGTACACTACAGTTCCCTTTGTCAATAAAGATATTCTGTCACTAGAAGCTTTTTAATACTAAAAGGGTTTTCAATATAGTTTTAATTTACTGCAAGAAAATAAGCCAGAAACTCTAAATTACTTTTCTTAACATATACTTTCATTGAAAATATCTCTCATAAAAATGCAGATGATTATTCCTTAGCAGGTTAAACAAAAATATTGCTTCTCACAGAAAATTGCATCAAAACTGTATTGGAGCATTTGTGGGTAAAATAGGTGAAATAGGTGCGCAGAAATCCAGCTTTAAATGCTGTACTTTATATGTGACCTCTGGTATAAATTTCTGGTATTACAGTGGCACTCACTTCAGTGCTGATCACTCATTCCCATGTTTCCAGTGTGAATGAGGGACAGTTTGGTAATTAAATCTGTCCTTTTGATTCTGAAATATGTTTTGAACAGACAGATTTACTGGTTAATACACAATAAAGTGTGGATATATGATTAAAATTATTTCTTAAATGCCATGCTTTAAATGCATTGTTTTAAACTTATATCCTAAAAAGGGCCAAATCTTCTTTTCAAATGGTATGGGAAAGGCACATGACTGAAAATGAGATAGGTAGCACTCACTTTGCATATGTCTTGTTTACTATTAGAAATTCATTAAAACACTATAAATGGATAGAGAAGTGCATTTATTAAAGTATAAATCAAGTATTATTAGCTGTGTAGTGAATGAGCTTTGTTTTAGTGATTGTGAGGTGATTTTAGCACAGAGCTAGAGGCATACAACCTTCAGACTTACTCTGGAGAAGCAGAAGAAACTCTTCAAGCATGGCAGCTATTCTAGGAATACATTGGGGATCTAGCTTATTGCTGGCCCAAAAATAGTATTTAGGATGTCAGTCTTCTTATTCTTAACTCTTCCACTTACCCTTTGTAAAACTCCTCTAGAAAAGTATAAAGAGATAATCTCGTTGGACACTGTCCAGCTGCTATCTTTCACTTAGAGAAAATACAGTATTTGTTAATTTGGAGATTTGAAAATACCCTTAAGACTGACTTGAGTCAGTAATTTTTATGTCTTCCTATCTAAACAAGGTTATTAGCTAATATTCTTAAGAAAAGGAAAAATGAGAAAGAACATTTTTGTTGTCAGGATGTATGTTTCTATCACAAACATGTGATAGAATCTATTGATTTCTATCAAATCTTATTGCACATAACTATCAAGCCCTCTGACCCAGAGAGACAACAATAACAGTTCTTTTGCTCTGTTGTCATGTAAAAACTTAAGGACGAGTATTTCCTTCAAAGTTGCAAAATTCGGGTCAAACATTGTTTATTTCTCATAAAATTCACCGATCTATACTGCTGCTAAGTCTTGAGTAACCTTCACTGTGGAGATAACCCAAGCCTTTGAACCACAGCTCAGATATGAAAACCCCTCCTTATTCTTTCAGGGATTCTCTTTTATGTCAAGTGGCTTGTTTTATTTCCCATGTGTGAGTCTGGAAAGTATTCCAGGGCAGATAGGAGAATATTCTGCCTAATCCCCTGTTTCACCCACATCACCTGCCAGATTTCCATGTATTTTCTGAATGAATGGAAATAACAGAATTGAGCATATTCAAGTACTAATCACTTACCTGAGACAGAATCTATTATTTCATTGCTTTTAGGTGGAAGATCAAGGTAAGGTGCAGGAAGACCCAGTTGGTTTTTCTTTAATTTCACCATTGTTACTTGAGCGATAGGTGGCAAAATTTTGAGTCTGGGATAATAAAATGAGTTTGCTGGGTGACTTGGGGAGGAACAAGTGATCTGTGAAATAAGAAGGGGAACCTTAAAGAAACTACATCTTATTAGTAAGAAGACAACTGTAAAATCATGTTTACACATAATGCTAATACTTTTTGGCAAGTAAAATGCATATCACTAGTTTCTATGAACCTTGGTTCATACAACTAGTGCTGGTAATCCCAGAATTTTTGTGCATAATGCTTTGAGACTGGGCACAACAAATTGTGCCAACCTTTGGATAGAGGACTGCGGTGGGAGGTACTGAAAACAGAGCAATGCATGAAATGGTTTGATGGGAAGAAGTGGATGTTACTACAAGGGAGAATACAAGAGTATAAATAATAACATTAGGTATGTTGTAGCAGCTGTCATACGGGTGTAGGAGGCCAAATGTATTGTTTTCCAGCCTCTCTGCTCCTTTTCTCATTACTCATTACCACAGCATTTGGCTCTAGAAAAACTGACCTTAAAGAAAGGACTGACTGAATGCTTATAGTATTCAAAACATTTGAATCAAAATGTTCTGTTCCCCAGCACCCTTAAATGACAAAAGCGAAGTATGAAGCATATAGAGTATTGAGCAAGCAAAAGAGAAAGTGGGGTCACTGCAGCAGCAATGGAGAAGTTCTCCTCTTCTTTCCCTTAGCTCCTTTCCCAGTAACAGTTTCAGGTTTCAGCAATGCTTTTAGCTGAAAACTCCTCCCTCCATCGGTATTCACTACAAAGAATTTTCCTGGTTAGATACATGTTTAGTGATGCCATGACTGTTAATATTTTTATTTTCCTGGTGTTTTAAGAATTGTTACAAATAATCTAGAAATAGTAAGCTTTTACAGAAAATACTTTAAATGTAGAGCCAAATTTTCACGAACCATCTGCATTTACCTAATACATTTTAAAGATACAGAAAATAAACAAAAGCGGTAGGGTCATCAACTATGTAATAAATCCATATAGAGAGAGCATCAGCAGTCTCAAATACCAAAACTGTGGAGTCATAGGATAGTTCTCTTTTAAAGGGAGGACTCAAAACATAGAGTTATGAAGTGCTAAACTATGTATATACACGTACCTCTGTAACTGTGTCCTGAGGAATAGTGGCAAAGTTTGGGGAGGAAAATGTGAAACCGCTATCAGTTCCTGCATCATATGGAAATAGATCTACTGAGACTTCCTCCATCCAGTGGTCTCCTTCACAGAGATTTAGGCTGTCAATACCCACAAACCAGTCAGGGCTTGGAACAATTCGTACAACAAATGAAACCTAATGAAACAAAATGATCCATCAGAATTGCATCACTTATTTCAAAATGATCCAGTCCTGGTCATAGTAATTTTAACTTAAAATTTTGAAAGAAATGTCATTATGCTCTTCTACGTTATAGAACCTGTACCATGCTCCCTGAAATGCGACATGCTTTTTAGTAACTCTTTGCATTATGTTGTTCCTACAAGTGGGAACTCACATATTTAATTTTGTATGCTAGTGACATAAAATAAACTTTTAAGATTAATATGTACATTTACTTACTAAGGGATGTCTTGAATGCACTTCTAATTCAGTAGAGGTTTGTCCTGTACCACTGGAAATGGCAGGAGCAGAGAAGATTCCATGTACACTCTGAATTTTCTCTCCAGCTTCTTCTATTTCTTTCATTAATACCCATGCTTCACCCTTTTCAGCAAAATCACGTACACCATTGCTGGCATATTCATTTTTTTTCCACATGCTGTAGTCAGAACTATGAGTAACACCTATTTGAGTGAATACATGGCATGACATAAAAGTCTGGTTCAGATTGTCCCTATTTCTTCAATTTCTCTGTTTTATTTCTGAGGTTAAAAAAATTGCATATAAAAATGAGTGAACACTAAAACATTTGGTTTATCACTGTTTGTTTCAGCTGCAGCCAATTGAAAACAGGAGTCAACTGAAAACAGTTGTAGGGTTTTGAAAGCATTGTGGATACTTCAATTTCTGCATTTCATTCGTAGTAACTTTGGCTGTTTTTTTCCTTTTCCATTAGTTATCTTAAAATTTACTATTAAGAAGAAAAAAGCTCACAGCGATCAAGAGATTTATCTGTTCTTAAAACTGTACATTCTTCACTTACCTAGCATTGATGACCACTGTGCTGGAGGCCTGTAAAGCGGATACTGCTTGGGGAAAGCAGTCTGACTCCATTTCCCTGTAAAGATTATGCTGTACTTAGCAAGTTCCTCTGCTGTGCAAATAGAATCATCACCCACAGGCAAGCTGCTGGCATAACCTAGTATTGTTACAAGCAGTGTCCAGATAACTTTACAGGAGCAGTAGACAAACATCAGGTTTTCCATTCCCTTCCACACAAAAAGAAAAAAAAAAAAATGTTAGCTGTATTAGTCACTCTAAACTCAAAATTCAAGAACAGTTACCTAATAAAATGCAATGTACAGTAAGTTACAATCAAAAAGAAAGCATATATCTGTAACACTAAAAATTGTTATGCTTCTAAAAGCATTATTGTAATGCTTTCAGATTTGATATTTCCATGCTATATACTACAAATCTGTAACTCTACCTGGGACAAGTGTTTCCAATGAAAATAAAAATATCTTAACCTTGTCCATAGTACTACCTCTGAGAAAAATCTGTTTCTGATTTTCTTTTGAAATCTTATTAGAGTCACATCTTGAATTAATTAGGGTAGCAACTGTTTCTGTGGAAAACATTAGTGGTATATTTATTCTTCTAAAGATTAAATTGCAGGTTACTTTGCCAAAAGAAATGATTTATTTTAAATTTGTGTTCTGCAAAGGCTTTTTTATGGCATAACATTTAAAGTCAAATACATTTCATACTTATATAAATTACTTTGCTGTCTTAACTTGTGCATTAAAAATACATTGTAATTGCTTCAGATTGTTTAAGCTACACAGTTGTTAAAAAATAATACTTTTTAAAAGTTGCTGTCATAGGTTGTGCAAATTTTGTTTTTAAATTAATATGGTAATTGCATCAGACTGTTGAACTCCAGCAATTGTTTAAAATAACAGCCTTAAAAACTTATTTTTAAATGCTTTTGTCCTTTGAGACAACTATACAAATACAACTAAAACGCTAATAATATATTAATTTGTAAAAAGAGCTGTGAATACTCACTAAATATTTCCTCTGGAGCACTGGTAGGGGGAGAGCACCTGCTTTTGCTGGCAGCTGAGTTGGTCTGCAAGAGAAGACAGTAGGAGTCTTGCTATTTATGCCTGGAGAGGGTCCCTTTGGTCCAGCAATTATTGTAATCTTTAGACTTTCCAGGTTTGCAGAAAGCATGCCATCTTCTTGTTTGCAGTCTTTTTGGATGGACTATCAGAGGTTTCCTGTTTGTCAACTGGTTCAGGTTCCTGTCAGAAGACTGTGATGCCGAGTAGACAAAATGCTTTAAAAAAATACCTTGGATTCTTAATAACAGTTTCAGCTTTCTGGTGCCTTTACAGTTCTCTGCTCTTATTAATGCCTCCAAGCTACACAAATGAACTGATTCCAACACTGAAATAGTTCTAGTGAATACACTTTAAATGAGAAGCATGTTTTCTTGTAAGTTTTATTGTCTGACAGATGCTTCTTCCAAACATTTACAGAGAGCTTGCTCACTCTCACACACCATATGTATGTGTTCAAATAAAAGGGGTGAGGCAGCTAAAAAAGTCAAGAGGAAAAAAAAGTTACATTTCATAATTGCACATACTCACACAGACTGTGTCTCCTGCAAATATGAATTAATTTAAAGTAGTACAGTGTATATTTTTGTGTTCTACAGTACCGTATGCTGGATGATGAAAGGGCTCTGTAACATTGTGGTTTCTTTGGAAAGA